TTATCAATTTTCAATAGAGTGGTATTTTAAACAGTAATGAATTACAACAATAAAGTTTTTAATATTTTTTAATTTATTAAATTTTTGGTTTCCAATACTACTATTTTTAGTATAGCCAAATATCTATCATCAATGGTCTTTTGAAAATATTTCTTGTATTTACTTATTCGTAAATAATTTTTTGAGACTGCAAGTAACGAGGGTTAAATTCATTCCATGCCAAATTAGAAGCTGGGTATTTGGCAATGCTCGAAACAGCTATGTATTCAGCCAAAAATTCAATTAATTAAAAATAAATAAAAATTTTGTTGTTCCAATTCAATACTGTTCGAAACCTCTCTAAAAGTTATAGTCTATATCAACCTCATAGATTGATTTAAAAATTTAGAAACTCATATTCGACTGTGTCAAATCAAAAGGACAAATATATGCTACTTAAACAGAGAAAAAGATTTGTCGCTAATAAAACCAAACAACAGATCATATATACCCAAGCTACCACCTTAACGTATGATAGGTGGTATTATTAATGTGGTAATTTTAGAGAGTACTAATGTGTTAATATACGCTACTTAAACAGAGAGGCAGCTCTTAAAATCTATATATTATATGTATATAACTCAAACCAACTTCTATTATATTGGTTTGGATTATATTTTCTCAGGTCACCACCTTAACGTTGGATGGGATTCTCTAATGCGTTAATATGCTACTTTTTGCAAAAGGAGTTGAGAATTTTTGTTGATTTTTATATAACTGTCAGTTTTGTTGTGGAGCACATTAAGAACATTGAATCACGAGCTTTAACTCCCACCGATTATTTGAAAACGCCTCAAAATATATTTTGATCTTTATCCAGCAAATCATATGTATTTTATTTGGTTAGTATATAGCTTGCTTGCAATACATATCTATTAAGGTTGCATTGCCTTGCTTAAGTGGAATCCTTTGTATAAAGCTTATTATTCAATGAATAAACTTGAATTGGATAACATATATGATTCGAACATCAACAAACTCCAAACGAAAAATTGCAATCAAATCAAACTACTAGAGGTATGATATAATTTAAAAAAAAATGAGGCTAAAAGTTGGAAAATTTATTTATTTTAACTTATAATTATGTTGAAGCAGTTTTGAGCTAGTGCACTTAAGCACTTATACTCTTTTTTAACTCGAGGTATTTTCAAAACCCCTCTTTACGCATTGACTTGATTATTGTTTATCACTTCATCAGACTTAGCAATAATTGACCTCAGATCTGCATACTTCCCCGAGGAGCCTGTAACCATTTTGAGATTTGATAACGCGGTGTTGGTAAGTGTGTCAGTTTTTACAAATAATTTCAGGGCTCTATGCTTTATGTATTTTTTGATGGGATCAAACTTGATGTCCCTAAGGATGTCATTCGTCCTAGTGTACCTTAGAACTTTGAAAAGTCTTCTCAGAGCCTGGCTTTGTGCAATTTCTATCTGGTGAATAGAAGTGTTTGAAGCTTTGCTAAACGCTACACAACCATATAGAAGTGACGGAGAAATTATTTTAACTTATGTTTATTTTAATTTGATTAGGAGTAAAACGTATTAGTGACTGTTAACTACTTACTTTCATAACTCGGTAATGAAAGCGGCCTCCAGTTTTGGTCTAGCTCCGCTACTGTGGAAAAGTTTAAATAAATCCGAACAGGCACAAGTAAGCAAGAGTTGGGATGCAATTAAAATAATGACATTAGCCATAATCGAATAGAAACAATTGATTGTGACCCTAAAATTTAACAATGTACAGTGATTAGTGATTATAAGTGAAGTGATTATACAATTATTATTAGTTTACTATCTTCAATTTCTCTTGAAAATGACTAACCGTTATGTAAATAGTTTTAACTACTTGAAAAAAAAATTTAAAGAATATAATCTATAGTTGTCTACTATAGTCTACTACTACCATTCCCATCTGACTTAAAAAAATGAATCACTAATACAGAATTTTTCAAACATCATACTTAATTTCCCATCAAAATCTTAACATGTGTAAACATTAAAAATTCATGTTTTTTTTTATATTATTTCATTGAAATGGAAAAGTTTATGAACTGTTTAATTTCATTTTATTATTAATTCAAATGTTAATTACAAATAAAACACCCAATAAAAATGTTTTTCAAGAATACCGCAAACGTTTAATTAATTCTCTCAGTTTTATTTTTAAATCTGCCAAAATTCAATCATTCGTGTTTTAAAAATCTTAATTTTAATTTATTTACCAAATCAAAACTCGAATAAAGTCAGCAGATATCAGATATCTGTTAAGATAACAATTTGAACCGGTAGTGAGTTCAAAGTAAGTACATAATTGAAATATTGAAAACATAAAATGATATGAGAATAATAAAAAATAATCGGTTCGAATGATCCTGTTGAACTCTGATATATGTAAATAAGATGCATTCTTTGAGAATGACTGGAATATATAAATATGTAATCTGTCCTTAATAAATTATTCATAATTATCAGCAGTGAAGATCCTGATTGAGTAAAAGTTCAAAGTTATCGTTTGAGGTTTACGCCCCGATTTCCCTGAAATCTAATTTGAATTTTTATAAAAAACACGGGTCAAAAAAATATGTTAATTTTAATGTTTAATGTTATCAATTATTAAGTTAATTAATACATGTGGATAATTGTTTTAACAAATTACGCAGAATTGAGTACAACAATTTATTATCAAAATTAAAAAATTTACCACTTTTTATTACAATATAAATAAAATTATAATTAATTTAAAATTATATTAAATTAAATTTAAAATCAGTTATGATAGAAGTGACTATTTTACTTAATAGAAACTATTGTATTTGGTAGAGAGGTTTCGACATGTAGTGAGTTACAACAACTCAAATTTGGCAGGGTACGAGTTCAACCCTTGGTACTTGCAATCTCAAAAAATTATTTACGAATAATTAAATATAAGAAATATTTTCAAAAGACCACTGATAATGCGTATTTAGCAATACTCGAAATAGCTGTATGGTCAGCCAAATATTAAATTAATTAAAATAATATTAATATTTGTTATTGTAGTTTAATACTTTTTGAAACTTCTCTACATAAATTATTATATAAATTATAGAAATTCAATAGAGTAGAATTAGAAAAATATTACTGTCACAGTTAAAATTTGTGATTTTTGTATACAAATGTAAATACCAAGATCTACAATATCAACACTTCTTCAAATTATTCTTTTTCTATATGTTTTATCTTTGAAGTTTAATTTAAGGTTATAATTTAGGAAATCTTTTATCTACGATTATTATTAGTGATTTTCAGTAAGCTATTTAACTTAATAGCCAATTTATTGTGTTCGCTTGTGTTTATTTTAATCACTCCAGATTACTTACACATTTATACCATTCACTTTAGAGTTCACAAGTATTCGTTCCATTTGGAATCTATTCATTGTAAATCAGAAGCAACTGATTTGTTCCTGCTTGTATTTGTTTTTCTTTACGAGTAATTATTTATTCGTAATTTATTCATTAACTTTGCATTCCATTTGGAATCTATTTTTTGTGAACCAGAAGAAACTGATTTGTTTCAGCTTGTATTCCGTTTTCTTTACGAGTAATTATTTATTCGCAATTTATTCATAAATTTGCTTTCTATTCACAATTCATTTGTGACTCTTATACACAACTAATTCTGTTTTTCATTGCTGGTATAATATCGTTTCTAGAAACAGCAATTTACTCTTTCAAAGTCGGTCCATAATAAGATAGACAAAAAAAATAAATGCTTTTGATTTATGACTTATTTACAAATTGATTAAAAATCATTTAATATGTGATCTGTCTCTAAATGTAATCAATTTGGGGTGATGAAAGGTCACTACTACTGAGCAGCTTTTTCACTAACAACAAATCTATATTTATTAAATAAATTAAATAACTTGCAAATAATATCTTCTTAAATATCTGTTTGGTTTTCTCTAATTGACTTGAAATCCTTTTATTAAATAGATGTAAAAATTACTAAATTTGTTTCTTACTCAAATAGTTTCTGGAGACATATAACATCACTGTAACATTTAATATTTCCACAATAGATAACAACAATAGAACAATACAAATGAATGGCAAAATTGTAGAACGAAAAGAATAATTAAAGAGGCGTTCCAACAGTGTTTCTCAAACTGGTCACTATACTGGCTAATAAAACATGAAGGGGATTAAATAAGCATTAAAAAAAATTTAAGAGGACTTCTTTCTATTTGGTCACACATTCTTCTTTTTATCTATTACATGCATCTATTACAAAAGTATAACTTTATTTTAAATCAAGGCTATATAAACTCTTTCTGGCTAGAAACGAAACATTCTGTAGTCAATAATTGGACTTCCCTTTAAAAATACAGCACTTTTAATAATAGTGTTGTAATAACTGATAGTATATAAGACCGTCAAAATAACATTACTGGAATAAAACTATTAACTATTAACTAGTAACTATTTTTTAAAACTGTTAAACTATGGTGACTATTTTTTATTGTATTTTTTCCCTCTCCATACATTGGAAAGGACAATGGGTCTATATGCTATAGATTTACAATTTATCTATATTTGAAGTTCCATGGTTTAAGAGAATAATTTTATGTATCTACGATATAATTACAGGCAAACCTATGTTGATCAATATAGAACTATTATTTGAATAAAATGAAAGAATTGTCATATGTATAACAGTTTTAATATAGGTATACCCGAGTACTACTAAATTTAAGTCGCTTTGACTAACTAAAATGTTTTTTGCAATACTAATTTCTTTGCAAATACAAAATCATTTCTCGCGCTCTCACATTCAAATAATGCAATTATTAAAATTTTTTAAAAAATACACAAATACAAAAACAAATCAATTTTTTGTTTAATGATTGCTAATAAAATTTTGACAATAGAGCATCAAATCTATAAAAGCAACTGCGACGGAAGAAACTGATTTCATTTCGAAACGGAAACGTTCAACTCAGTAGACTGCAAAACCCGTGTTGCGCGTAAGACTCGAATTTATACGATCGATCGGTGCTCGTTAAAGATGTGTCCGCGAATATATTCAAATCTTAAGGTTGGTTTTAAATCAGAGGAACTTTTTGAACCATTAAAGATTAGAACATATAAGTTTAATATGAAAAATTCTTATGATTAATGGAAATTCTGTTGTTCTTATTTAATTTTTCGTACTTTTCAACAGATCGTGTTTACCGCATACATATTGATTTGTGTGCCTTTAAAATTAGTCATTTCTTCTACACGACCTATTGATCGCGATGCACGCACACTCTACCTTATAAATAATCCTCCTAAACCGAATGGAGATTTTTATTACGAATTCCAGACAACAAATGGGATTACAACGAAGACGGGTGGCAATGAAAATGGTTTCAGTGGTGTGGTTCAATATGTTTCATTAGAGGGAATTCCTATAACTATGACATATGTCGCTGATGCAGATGGCTACCATCCAATGGGCGAGCATATACCAGCTACACCGGAACATGTACTAAAATCTTTGAATTACATAGAAACGCACCCACAAGTGGATGAGAAGAAATCACGAAAGCTTTAGTTAGGTTTTCTTTTCATCTTAGGTATAAATTGTACTTCCAAGAGGTATAATATTTTTTTAAACTCTAAATGGTGCAAAAAACTTGTGAGTGTTTGTTGAAAAAGTGTTAAATAATATATCTGAAAATATATGAAGTGATGATGGAGACTGATTACTGTTTTTTCAAAAAAAAAAAAAATAACAGTCCATTAGAGAATTAGTTTAGACAAACCAAATAATTATTGAGTATGAAAAAAATGCATGCAATAATATTATATATATGAAACGTTAGATAGAACAATGGGTGTCCATGTTCTATGAGATCTATTGTGCTTAGAAATATATATAATATTACAGGCTAAAAATTTTAAGATATTATATAATGCTGAAGTGATATTTTTTGAGATTATATATATAAAAATTTTGAAGGTTATTACTTAAAAAATTTAATCACAGCTACAAAGCCTTGTAAAAAAGAGTGTTGATCATTTGAGTGTTAAAATAAAAATATATTAAATAATAATTATATATATTTTTAAAAAGATATTCCAATAAAAATCAAAATTTTATTTCAAACAATAAATAAAAAATTTAAAATCTCATGTAATGAAAGTCTTAAGTAATATATTACAAAAAATAGATAAGTCTCTGTATTGTGATCACCTGAATTTGTCCAAATTCTTGAAGCAGATTTTAGACATAACTAGAGCTTAATAAAGAGTAACAACAAATAATTTTACAGATAAACTTTGATCTTTAGAATTAAAACTTGAAGAATACATTTTTTCAGAGAGATTTGAAATTCTCCAATTAAACGTAGCGTAATGTAATTAAATTTCAATAATGTGTACTTATAGTAATTACTTATTAATTATATTATTTTCCTCTCCTAATAACACTATTTTTATACATATTTTTTTCTTTTTACATGAACCCATAAGACTATAGTCTCTTAAGCAAATGGAAAAATAAATAATTAAAACCTTATACCAAAGTGAACAATATATTGCCTCAATGCGAATCAAATATGCCACTTTATTAAATAAATCCATTCATTACTTTAATAAAAATATAATAATTTACATATTAATATATATGAACTGATTATATGCAATTTCATTTAAATTAGTTTTTCTATAAGCTTTTGTGTTCAATTTTTTTTGTCTTATATCACAATAGACTTAAAATAATGTTAGTGCGTAAGTTTTATAAAAATATAAAATAGTTAAATAAATAAAAAAAAAGATATTTGTCATAAATAAAATTTAAATAACAAAACCTTTTTCTTTTACTTAATAAAATATTTTGTAAGCATTTAATTTAATACATATACAAAATTATACAATAATTATTAATTTTGAATTAAATATATTAAATAAAAAAAATATTTTTTTATATAGTAAGTGTATATTAATATACTTCAATAAAAGTTAACATCTTTATAGAAAATAAATAAAAATATAACAAAATTCTAAAAAATTAAATCTTCTGTTTTTACTACTTTAAAAGTAGCTCAGTTTATTAATAAAAACCCGAAGACCTTTTTAAAACGACATTAAAATAGTTGATGGACTATTAAAATGTTACTGGTTTCAAATGTTAAGAATTTATATGTGATAAGAAATAGCGAATAAGTTTTCCACTTTAATTTGTTTATTTATTCTATTCAATTAATAATACTACATATGCATATAGGTATCGCATATAGAAAATCTTGTTTCAAGCCAACCGGACAGTCATTAAAAGCATACTGATTAGCAACATATTTGCAGCACATATTATAGGTAAATATAATAAATTTTTATTATATATTCGAAAATAATAAAATAAATTGTTCAGCAGTTCGGTATTTGCATATAAATGAATAAAGTGGAATACTGTGTCATGCCACAAGAAAAAACGTCCATTAACACAATTTATTGCACTCTTCCAACAAAAAGCTGTGGGTTTTATTAGTCAATAATTAGTGAATAAGTGTCATTAGAGCTGGTCTTCTACCGACTTTAAAAGTAATCATAATTATAGAATAACAGTCTTAAAAAAATTTTATGTCATTTTTATATTTCCATGATATTTTTGATGGGTAATCAGACAGTAATCAAATTACTAGAATCAAAGAAATTAATCTCAACCAAATTAAATACTGTTTTTAAATTACTGGTTAAATTAACTAGATATACCTCTTAAAGATAGGACTAAAAATCTCTTATACCTGCAGATTTTGTGCAATGAAAATTAAAACGTTCTCTTACCTTATCTCCTCTTATTCTACTATTGTCAGGAACGAATCTAGTACTTTCAACTTATACTTTCATTTAATGGAATGAAGTCCGAAATCTTCAATCAAGAGATGTTATGATTAGGTGTATCAATAGTCTCAATTCTTTCAAATTCGCTTGAATGACTTTCTCCACAGAATAGCATAATTGATTTCAATTACACAGTGTATCTTTGTTCCTTTTAAAAGTAATAATAAATTAAGTCGATCCCATCAGTAAGACATCCTTTCAATTCAATTCATAATATACATTATGACGTATCAAAATCTTAGAAAAATAGTTTTATCAAATAAAGAGGGCGTTATATTGATAAATCCATAGTTTCATTATATGATTCATGATTCATAATAAAAATTGTTAAACTATTTAAAAAAAATAAAAATATTTTATTTTGAAGTATTCATTGAGTTTTATTTTAAACACTGATACCGTATACCTCGACACCGCTATGATAAGTTTAGGTTATGTTGTATCGGCAATCCAAAGAGATCCACTTAGGCCTATTAGCCTGTTGTGTTATCATATAAGTGAAAAACTCAAAGATTTAAGACCACCTTGAACCTATATCAAAGATTAAAATACTATTTAATGAGAGTTGACTAAGATCCTCAAAAAAGGAGGCCCCTAGAGTAGTATGGCAGCACTGCGCATGTGCTGAGTAAGAAAAAAGCAGATGGGAGACACTTTCGTCGTCCTCTCCACAACTGCGACAAATATAATTGAAAAGAAGATACAATTTTCTAGCACGGTTTCCTAATCTGTAATGACCTATAATAAGTAAAGCAATCACAAGACTGATTTCTCTATGGGGCAACGTAATGAGAGCATTGCATTTCTTTTTAATGGAACGCGGCTAAATTGCATATAGATCACTACACAACATTGAATCTTGCCATCTTTTATTAAAAAAATTCAGCACAAAAAGATATAGCTTGCTTATTAACATATAGTGGCTTCAGGTGGCAAACTTTCGATATAAATTATATAAAAAAAAACTACTTATGCCATCTAGCGCCAATTAGTAAATGTAATTTTTACATTTATGGGATTGTTGAAAACAATTATCTTCACTAAAATCTATTTTTTATTCGAAATCGTGCCATACTAACTCATTTCTAAAGTTTCCAAATTTGTTTTTCAAATGAAAATCGAAATCAGCATTTTTAGATTTATATTGTGGGGTTATTATCCTATAGTGAATGATTATATAAACAGTTATTTCTATATAATATAACACTATATTAATAATATATTTAAACTTCTCTTTCTCAGTGACTGGCATATTAACAAACGACCCTGTTTCAAAGTACCATTTCACTATTATTCCAGTTTTCGAGAATTATCGCATATGAATAAATTTAGAATTTCTTTAGATATTGCTTAGATAAACTGTTATTAAATCAAATTTATTTGCAGTACGTGTGTGAAGTTGCAAAAGTCTAGATCATTAATTATAAATAAAAATAACCACACATAAAAAATCAATAAATAATATACATAACAAAATAAATTTTTGAAAACCTTATGAAGCTAAGTTTTTTACTTTTTAAGCTGAAAATCAATAACAATTATAATGAATTTGACATATCTATCATAAAGGGGTCCTAATTACGACAATTAATCAAAATTATTTCTCAACACTTTGAAAGCGTAAATAATTAATAAACACAAATAATTATTTTAACTTAAAATTAATTACTATAAAAATAACGAAGAGTGTAAAATGTCAGCGTGACATATTATGATAATAAATTATGATATGGTATGCAGCAAAGCAGTGGAGCTGTCTGGCAAGTCTACAAATTAAAGATAATTATTGTGCTAATATTTTAAACCACAGAATACCTTGCGAAAAGAAGATGAAATACCGTACTGTGCTAGGCACCCATAATAGTCGTTTACCATGTATTACGGATGCAGCCCCCAGTTTTGGTAGATCTAAACAAAATAGATTACGAAGGCAATAGCATGTGGAATGAATATATGTCATTGTTAACTGAACACACGTGCAAAAAGAATGGAGCTAGCGGAACTATAATAGAATGTAATTATGAATTATATAATTTCATTCAAGTCCTTCATAATACCACTGCTGTTTATGTGGTTTACAGACTATATTTAGGCTATTGACAGCACTATATCTCGTTTAGGTAATTCGCTACTGGCTTACTTTGATATTAAAACTACTATAAACCAGAACGATGTCATCTTTAAAATCCGATGAGGAATCATTTTCAGTATATGCTACTAAAGGCTAACTATTTGTTAACTAGCTGTTAAACAAGCTTCTCTCTCTCTCTCACTCTATCCCTCACTCTCTCTCCCTCACTTACTCTTTATTTCTTTCTCACTTTCTCCCTATCTCCCTCCTTCACTTTCTCTCTCTCTCTCCCTCACTTTCTATCTCTCGTGCAGCTTTATTGGTTTAACATGCTTTTAGCATATCTTGAAAATATATTTGAAACGACAATAGGACGAAAAAAAGACGTAAAGGTTGGTGTTATCTTCGATCAATTTGATTTTCGAGATGAATTTAATAAACCACAGACCTATCTAAGACTAAAGAATGTACAGAAAGCAAAGTATCTGATTAACCTAAAAAATACCAGCACAATCTTTGTCGTCCTCAATCCAAATTGTATAGTAATTTATAAATTTATAATTATAAATATAAGTATAAATAAATATAATATAATTATAATTTGTATAATAACGAGCATAGCGAGTTCTATCCCCAGGTTTTTAATTTCAGACAATGGACAGAGTGTTACAAACGTCACGTAAAAACAGCCGCCAGTGAAGAATGTATGAAAACTTCGGAATTGTAAACCGAATGTTGACCAACTTCGCTAATGATCAAAAAACTATGATTAACGGATATGCACCTACAGAAGACTGTCGAACTCAGTCCAACGGCATACATCATTGAACGAAAGACTTGCTACTATTGTTATATTCATATAAGTAAGTAAGAGCAGGTCTAAAAATCTAAAACTGAGGTACCTCAACAAAAGTTTTACGTCAGACCCAAACTTAGTTGTTAATATCAGTTATATTAATGCAAAAGTAAATGAAAACCTATTTTCATTTTTATATATATGAAATAATTTTAATTATTTTACTGAACCTATTGCCCTAATACGTACAAGTAATAGGCGAAATCATTGCTGAAAAGATTGAAACCTGATGGAACTATTAACTAAAAAAAATAAATTAATACTAATTATTTCAAGAACGGCAGGATCAACTCCGTTCCAGAGCTACTCGTCGATTTTGACAACCTAGTGCCGTTCAGCACTCGCAACATGGACTACACAAGCAGTACTTGTAGGCCATAATAACTAATACTGTAATAAATCCATAACGATCTTTTGCTTTTAAAAACAGTGTCTATTAATACCAAAATCTGTGCACGTCAAACTTTCTACTATAGAATCTTTTTAGTAAATTTTTGTATGCATTATGTATGCGAAATGACACATATTCCTGCACATTTGTCGATTTATTAATCAATAATAGAACATGTACAGTGACATGATATATCATTAAAATAAATGAAATGCAATACAAACGATAAACTGTTATCGCTGGAGCACTGTTTAAATTTGCATTGTATTTTTGATTGTAAACACCTACATAAAAATAAATTTAAATATTATCTATAATGATTGTATAACTTTATAAATGCCTTTTAATTATGTGCTAAAACACGTAAATTTTGCTATTACTTTCAGTATTAATAATATTAGATGAACAGTAATTTAAGCAATTTTATGACGTTATGGAATTAATGAGTTTACTGAAAACAATCGAAGCCAAATCTCGCATTAAAAATATATAACATATACATGAGTCGATATCATAAATTTCTTTTAATTATATACCTATTTCTTAGACTAACCCAATATAATTTAAATTAAATTAATGAATTTTAAATGTAAGTCTTAATATAAAATACAATTTTATTTATTAGTGAATCTGTGCTGAATCAAGTTAGACTGGAACAATTAAATTTAGTGACACATATATTTATCATTGCATTACTAAACATTACTAACAGATATTCGTATCAACAAAAAACAATAGAGAGCTGCATTTTTTTATTACTCTACTCTACAAATACTTAAAATAGATACATACGTATCAAATGTCACTGTTAATGATATTTAATACCTATATTAACTATTGCGGTTATTGATTTAAGTTAAAATAACAAAAATATTATCTGCAAAACAAAAGCATCTTATTTTTATGATAAAAATAGTTTTGACATTGAGATACATATAAATATAGATATGCATTTGCAATGAAAGTACTATAGGTAACTAAACGCTTTCGACATAAATGAACAATATGGTGCCGCTGTTTTATAGATAAGCTAAAACTATTATTTTTAATTAAATAAAATGTAATAAGTTATCAATAACTTATGATATTTATTACTTATATAAATAGTATATATAAAAAGCAATTATATCTACTTTATTGTATAATTTTAAAATACAATACAACAATACAAAACTCAAATACATTTTAAAATATAAAATATAATAATTTTTAGAACTTATTCAAAAACATATTTTTTACTTTTTACATTTTATTTATTTTTATATATAATATACATGTAAATTACATATTTTATATATATTATTTTGCATTGAAGTACCTAAGTTGATCTTAACTTATATAAAATTGTTTTTAATTTTCATACTTATTATGAAGTATAATTATTATTATTATTATTATTATGTTTTTTTGTGTGTTACAAATAATTTATAATAGCTAAATAATAAATTTATAATTTCTATAAACAATATTTTTCATTTTATTAACAATTTTTTAAGTGATTAATAAAACATTTGTAGTTAAATTTTAACTATTACATTATATAAATAATTTTGCTTTCTAGTTATGTGTTTAGGGGATCTTGTAAATAATGTAGTTTTGCGCTACTGCAAATATTTTGTATTTTTTATCTTGATGTTTTATAATTCTTATTATCGACTTTTAGTGCATGCGTATTTCTGTGTTTACTTAATGAGTGATAAATTTTAAATATGAAATTATTGTTTAAAAAAAGTGCAGTACTTCTTTTGTTTTTTTATCTTTTATTAATATATTAACTAACATCTAAGCTTTGTTTACATACCAATGATATTTCTCTCATTTTATGCTTTACTACATTTATTATATTTATTTAATTAGCATTATTTCATTGTTAAAGTTTTTTTTTTTAAATTATGTTTAGAAAATTCTAACCTTAGGGTAATATATATATATATTTATATATGTTTATATAACATTACAAATATGTATTTTTAGTAGAAAATTAAAATATTTATATTACATTTTATTTTTTTTTGTTTTTTTTTTAATTTTTGTACCTAAATAAAATTATATTTAGTTAGTGCACATGCTCGATAGACAATCATATTGCAGTAATATATATTATATAATAATCCTCTTTTACATTAAATAAAAAATTTCCAACTTTAAAATATAGAAATAATTAAATTGTGTGATATTATAATTAAAACTATTACGGGATCAAGTTCTTGTATTCAATACAATTTATTAAGTTATATTTTTAATAGAACATTTTTTTATTAATCATTTTTGCAAACTTAATTAAAAAATTGCTTGATACGAATTTAGTTGTCGGTCAATTAACTACTGTTAAGTTAAAATCCTCACGTACAGCAAATGAGGCAATACCTATAATATAAATAAATTAATTAAGTTAATTTAAAAAATTAAAAATTTATTTATAATTATAACAAAAATGAAATATATATATATATATACATAGATATATAACAGGTTATCTATTTTGTTGAAAATGTGAATAAAATATATTTGTGCGTATGATCGAAATTTCGATCTTTATCCTCACATTACCAATACCTATCCACATCCTAACCTATGAATATGTCTTTATGTTCTCTACAGGCTACATTAACAACATTGAAAATTCAATCAAACTTTTATCTCAAAATATTGTTTGGACCTTTACGAGACATTGCCCTACTGAATCCTGTAATTTTCGATGACTTACCGAAAAATAACTGATAATAGCTCGGTCAGAACTAAAAAAAATTCGGTGGCGACAAATCACATAATCTTGGTGGAAATCATGTCGGGAAATTTCTGGCGTATTAAAGCTTCAACAGAAAGTGTTGTGTGGCTTGTGCCATCATCCCATGGAAACCAACTTCCATCTTCCACTTCCATATATCTAATAAAACCCACCTTTTGCGCCACCAAAACGTGAAATTACACACTTCAGAAATATTTTTTGTGCAACAAAGCCTAAACAAAACGTATTACACGGTTTGTAGTACCGTTCTATTAAAACAAAATACCTTCTATATACATATTTTTACCCCAGAAGCAAAGGTTCAACGTTGACAAGTCAATAAGATCTTGGTGGGTAATGCACATGATCTTGGTGAATAATTCACATCTCCAAACAAAGGAAAAACATGACCATTTATGTGATTTATGTGGTACCGTCCTGTTAAAACTATGTGTCCTCCATTCCATATATTCAATTACATGTTAAAAAAAAATGATAGTTATGTAATTGTAGTGATTGTAGAATTGCTGGTTAATGTCACAACGTGCCCAAGATTCTCTACATAACATGATCCGTCTTTACTAACATGTCACATCATGCCGTGCTACTAAATCAAGTCATGAAATATATAAACTTTTATATTAAGTTAAAAAAAACCTATATTTTAAAGATTTGTTGTGAAAATCTACTCATAACTACAGACAGTGAATAAATTAAACGGTAATAAACCTTATTTATAAACTATTAATGAGTATTTGAGGCTACAGATTTTGCATAAAATTATGGAACAGAGCATTATAATTTACATGATATATTTTTATAATTACATATATAGCACAGCATTCAATAGGTCAGAAAATAAACCATTGGACGACAAAACCATTCATACAAAAAACATATAATTTGTTTATGGCTTAAATTCGGACGAGAGCCAAATATTTACTTACAATTAGACATAGACAGATGTTTCTTAAATCTTGTAAAAGTATTAAGACAATGTGTCCCCATTGAAATTAAAAGAACTATGTTAGCTCTCAAAGGGAAAACGCAGCACACAATAGGACTACAACATCATTAACCATTATTACTAAACACCTTAGTGCTTCTACTTGCCATCTTTGTACCAACTAGTTCCACCTACCTATCCAGTTAGTAGTGGTAATCGAAAACCAGCTTGTTAGTATTGAGGCCTTAGGTCTCCTTATATATATATTTCCATAAAATATATATCTATATCTATTTATATCTATTTATACCTATATATATCTATATATATCTAACACCATTTTCTTTATAATATCATTAAGTTTTTATGTCTGTCATTAAGTAACTTTAACAACAAAACAAACAAGCAAATTTATTTTTTTACCGTATGTATAATGGCTATATATATTCAGTTAAATCTATGACAATAGGTACCTTTACATATAAGACTATATAGATATACATATATATAAATAAACAAATGAACATACACACACATATATCTTTAATCGCCTTGTAGAACTAATAAGAGATACTTACCGATTATATCACCTCTTAACTATATATATAATAATCATAAAATTAACTACTAAATGACAACAGTTATTACAAAATATCAAAGATTATGTACATATATTAAGATTATAAAAAATAATAAAAATGTTTTAATGCTGGAAAACACATTAAAACAACATTTGTTAGATTGTCAATAAACTTTAGACATAAACTACAAATCGATTATTTCACGATTTGTATATAATTTTTATAACTTAAAATCAAATATTTATAAATATTTACGAAATATACTCATATTCCAAATTTATATTGTATGCCGCTCTATGATTGACTTAACTGAATTCATTCATACTCAAATTTCAACTGTTTCATTCGATGACTTTAAAAACTACGGAACTAGTTTGAATATAAACGTACAGACAGTCAAACAAACAAAAACAGAGCCAGAGAATAAAGATAGACTTGTAAGCTTATCCTACTTAATTTAATTCTTTATTTATTTATCAAAGCAAGAAATAATTACTTAATTTTGTGTGTTGAAATTACACGTGTTTATTGTTTTTATTCTTAGTTTTCCCAAACCGTAAAAAGAATGACAACCTTCTTCTTCTTACTCAATCAAAATATTATTATTAGTTATTAAAAATTTTCTTTTTATGGCCAACTCATCTTATTTTCAATAATTTGCTTGTCCGTGTTTGCATGGCCAACCTATATCAATTTAAACATAAATGTGAATATACAACCGCCACAGACTCATAAATAAACAGATCAATAAATGCGCAAGCAGATTTTCAGACATCCACTCTCACTGAGCTGTCTCATCATACTGAACAAATGTATATACACTTTTCAATGTCTTCTTGTTAAAATGTCTGGTTTACAAGAAAAAAAAAAGGAAATACTACAAAGGGAATATATCGACATACTAATTCCGTGAACGTCTGGATCTTTGTTTCGGAGCCACTCGTCTTATTTAACAACCAAGTACTGTTCACCACATTCAAAAAGGACTACATAAGCAGATTTTTGAGGGTTACAACATCAACTCATAAATTTTATATCAATTATTCTATATTATACAATATAATTTAACTAATAATACATCAGTTCCAACACAAACTACACTAAATATTAAAATAGATTTTCAAATTGTGTATTACCTTAAAGATTCCAATCATCGTCATGTGATATAATCATATAATGATCGCTTTCCTATTCAGCTGCTTTGGCATCTGACGACTGTTGCATTAAATCTTCTAATGCAAAAAATCCACCACCAGCTGCCCCGGTACCACTATCTGATACTTGTGCATCCTCGCCTGCAGTTGCTGAAGCATCTTTTTCAAGCACTACACCTTCACCGCCTTCTAAAACCTCTTGCTGTACTTGTACTATGGGTTGACCATCAGCTGTATATGATACTGAAACTGGTATTCTTCTGCCATCTTCACCAATGACATGAGCACCTTCACCCAATTCGCCATCTTGACCATGTAAAACCAACTGTCCACCGGCATTTAAAAGTGACGCATCAATTAATTGTGTTTCATTATTTTCACCCTGCACTAACACCATTTGACCATTGCCATCTGTCATCATTTGAATTGTTTCGCCATCTAAACCGTCACCGGAATGCAAAACACCGACACTTTGTAAAAGCTGCTGTATTTGTTCAGGATCTTGCACAAGTATTTGATTACCATCAGCATCGGTAAGAATGTGATTATCCAATTGTAATAATTGGCCATTCTCATTGAGGATAAATTTAATTTGACCACTTTCAACTTGAGCTTGCATTGCTTCATCCATTTCCATAGCTACTTGTTGATGTTCATCGCTACTAGATTCATTTGTGCCAACTTCTGATTCATTGATAGACGTATTAGCGCTCTCTTGGGAATCAGCATTTGCATCAGCTACAATCGAATTATCTTCTGACTTTACAATAGCCTCACTTTTAACATTTTCATTGGGTTTTGTCTTTCCATTTGCTTCACTTTGATGTAATTCTTGTGTCTCATTGTCATCGTCTAGGCTTGGCATATTAACCGGTTGAGCATTTGCCTTTGAATTGTTAGCATCACTTGCATCGGAATCTTTTTCTTGTTTGACGCTTTTCTTACCGTCTGAAGCTGATTCATCTGGCTGGTCTAACATTGGCATATCTATGCCGACCGATACAGGTGTTGTGGAGGATGCCAATTTCGTATTCTGTAATAGAAAAGAAAAATTTTAATTATTTTTATTATGTGATAAATAACTATATTTTTATTTTTTCTAACCTGTCCACCTTCAGTGGCATCACGAGGAATTGTTATATTAAATGTTATACCGCCGGAACCTTGTTGTGATGTTATAATCAAATTTTCATTTCCTTGACCACCAGTTGTTGTAGAAGATGTGTTCGTTGTTGCGGTATTGGCAGCTGATGTAGCCGATGTATCTGCACCGCCTGCTGCATCAGCTTTGTCGGAATGCATCTTTTCGAAAATGCTTTCAATGTCTGAATCAACTGAATTGGGATTTGATTGTTGTACTGCTAAAGTATTTGGTTCGCCTTTAACCACTGCTGTTGTTGGAAGCCCGTCACTAAGTAGCGTAGCAGCTGCTGTATTAAGTGACGGAATAGAAGTACTGTTAGTGTGAGCTGCAGTAGTTGCAGTTGATGCAGGAGATGTATTACCATTACTACCCTTCTTTTCAGCACGATGTGTGTCCATGTGTTGATTGTAATAATTTTCTTGTATAAATGTCAACGAACATATATGGCATGAGTAAAACTGTATATTACTGGCGCCAGTGGGATTAGCTTCAGTTGCGCCAGCTGCATTAGCAACTCCACTTTCGCTTAGTGCCTCGTCTATTGTATCCTGTAGTAATTTTTGTGTAGTTAAACCTGTTCCTTGTTGTTGTATTTGCTTTACAGTAACAGTGCTTGACTGAGAAGTAGCAGTCTGTTGAGTTGTACCAGTTGACGGATGATGTTGCTCGAAATGTTTAACAAGCAGTTCACGCTTAGGGAAGGACATAGAGCATGTGCCACATTTAAAGTAATTCGGTTGATGTTGTTTTGCGTGTATGGTAGCTGCTTCACGTGTCTCAAATCGTTGAGCACATAAACGACATTTAAATGGCTTTGGCTTACCGGTCGCTATATGCTTACGCATATGTTCATCAAACACAACTTTATCTGTGGATTTAAATTGACAGTGATTACAAGTGTATAGAGAAGTGGATGCTGCGCCCGTTTCCTGTACAGCATTGGAAGATTGCCCAGCTGGTATTGTGGAACTGCTTGTGACCAGTATGTTAGTGCTATGGTTGAGCTCCATATGTTTACGCAGTGCAATTTCACTAACGAAATTTATATGACAAACCGAGCATGTATTATCCATGGCTGTATTGTGTTCACGTACCATATGCTGTTTCATGTTGCCGAAATTTGAGAATATCTTTTTACAGTTCTTACATTGGAAGCTTTGTTGTTTGCATGTTTCATAATGTGCATTAAAAAGACGCATATCCGAAGTTTTATAGTCACAGGACAGACATTTGTATATTCTTGTTGGTTTTCTATGCATCGTTTGTGTACCAGTTTGCTGTTGTTGCACAGAAGAAGGCTGTGTTGATATCTTGATTTGCTGAACTGCGCTTACTGCAATAATAATAATAATATATTAGTTTTAAAAATAAACACATAATAATGGAATGATTATTACATACCTGGAGGTGATTGTTTACCCAAAGACGAATCAACGCCAGATGTGGTTTGTAACATTTTACGGGCGCGATTTAAATCTGTAGATTCCTCAGCGGTGCGTACGGCAGCGCCGCTATTTAATTTTAATATTTTAGATGGTGGATTTCCGCCCCCTTCATCACTAAGATTATACTTCTTTTGCAGCAAATTAAGCAAATTTGTACGAACACGATCCACATCACTTTCCAAACGATCCAAATAGTTTAATAAATTTGAACAACGTGCGCATACAACATCTTCCAAGCTCACTATAACCAAAAACGCATCTCCGACAAGTTGTCCAATTTTATTTGGATACTTTGTACCAGTGTGACTGGTAGTCATTTCAGCAAGCGAATGCTGCGCTTGACCATTGCTGGGTGCATCATCACAAACATAGCAACGAGGATTGCTGCCCCCCTGCGTTATGCTGTTCGTGGGAGTTACTATAGTTGAGCCAACTTTTTGTTTCAAAATGCGCGGCTGATTAGGACCCGTTACTGTGACCGCGCCACTTGTTAACAAATTATGTATTTTACGCACTGCACTGTTCATTTGATTATTCATATCGACAAAATAACGCTCGCTTCGTACAAACTGCAGTAATTGTTCTCGCTTTTTTTTTTTATTGAATCTTCTTTTAAGGGATTTTCAAATCTTGCAATTTTATCTAAAAACAAAACATTTTCAATATTATTGATGCAATAATTTTCTTATTCTTTTATGAAATACACTCTATTTACTTTTATAATTATTTATTACCACACTAAACCCTCCACATCTGCGATGCTTGGAAGCAATCGCTTACTGATTTGAAGAGCATATTTTTTTTTTATGTTAGGTTTCGTTAAGTTCTTGTTCTTGTTCCCCTCATTTATTAATACGCAACAACAAATATAATTCTCACAAACAACTACTTTCTCTTTTGCTCTTACAACCCTAACGCGGTGCCAAGTAAAATAAAGAACACAAAAAAAAAAAAATAGAAACAGGAATTGTGAGCACAAATATTTTTGTGTAATTTAACATGGCTTATATTAAATTTTTAGGTAAAAATATTTTAAAACTATGTTTAAAGAATATTTTTTTTTTTTGCAAATAAGTTAGCTCCCAAATAGGATATACATGAAAGAGTTTACAAGGCCATTTCAAACAATGAGATTCGGATTCGGGAGCCTTGCACAAGAGAATAATAGCAAATTCAGCACAAGATATGTGTGCTTCATATAATTTTATTACCAATAATTCAAAATGAAAGAAAACCGTTTTAGTTATGAGCATATATATATATTTATCTTTTTTTTAATTTGCAAAGCAAATAAAATCGAATATATATCGTGTCATATAATTTGCTATAATTTTAGTTAGCGATAAAGTAGTACTAACACTTAACATGACTCAAATAAATATTATCACGCAAGTAAGAGGAAGTATGTTAGGTTCTACCTACAAAGAAATTGCTTAGGTCAGCAACTTTTTAATGTTTTGTAAACAAGAATTTTTTAAAATATGAAAAGAAGCACAAATCTTCAGTAATACTTTTCTTGATATATAATATATATATATATATATATATATTTAAAGCAAATTAAAACAAACGTAATATAACCACATTATGCCGTCTTGTGTTAGACTGACTAATTCAAAAAGTAATGATGATTTATGAGCACATAAAACATAGCACTAAATGCATAATATAACTATTAGTAAATTACTTCATTATCGCTTTTCACTAAATTTTGTTCAAGATATATAGTCTACATGTTCAACTATAAAGTAAGCAGGGTATGACAAGTGCATTATATGCCTACCAAAAACTCATAAGTTCACTGCACACTTATATATAAAAAACCCAAAACTAACATTAAATGCATATTTCTTAAATATTATTCGTAAAATATTCATTATTATTTTAAAATAGAAAAATTTAGATTTTTTGGTTCATGAACATTTTATATGGAAACTAGCGCATTAGTTCGTTACAGTTGATAATCTCGTTTTTTCTCGCTTACTTACTAAAAAATTTAATATGTAATCATGCGATAGAAAAATAACCCTCGCCGCGCCAAAAAAAAAAAATTATTTAAACGCACTTAAAATAATACCATTTATTGTTAAATTATTTACACCTTCTTATTATGCGAAATAAAACTATTAACTCTTATAATTATTTTTCATTTTAAAAAGCACTTTTTTTTTATATTATTTAAATTGTAATTGATATTGCCATTTGAAGTAGTGGCTAGGTGCCGCTACTGTACAAACGCCAGGTCAAAATCAACGAAGCCTATTCACATATTTCATTAGGAAACTATATCAAAAAAAAAACCACACTTTTTTCCAACAATAAATGCAAACTTTTAACAAAACTTACTTTTAACTTTTGTACATATAATTTATTTTTAACTCTTAAATGATTATAAATTTTTATTTTTTCCATTCATATTTAAATTGTAACAGCAGCTTTGCTTATATTGAATGTTTTAATTTAACCGCAAAAGCAACACTGTACGATATTTTATTCATTTAAACTCTAGACACCAGTTTAACGAAGCCGGAACAGTTTGGTTCGCATATGCCGAATATTTTCCCCAGCGCACGTTTTACATTTGCCTGTACGTGCATACGAAAGAGATGACAGTTATAGCTTGCCAAATACGATTGTCGCACAATTAAAATTTTAAGCAACACTAAAGCAAAATGGCTGGCCCTAGCTTCGTTCAATTTCGTCTAACTTAACGTGATTAATTCTTTCGTTTTTTTTTTTTTAATAACTGATGAATACTTTTTATGTACATGAATTTCATTTTTAATTTATATTAATTATTAATATTATTTTATACCTCGTATTGAACCATTTATTTATTTTATATTTGCACAAGTATTTATTGCGTACACGTTAGAATGTATGCTACTATAATATACAATCGGCGAGAACAGAAGTGCGGCACTCTCCGCTTTATCGCTAAAAATGCGACTAATAATACCGCTTGCTGCATAAACAGAGTTGCCAAGAAGAATGCACTTTCACAAGTATGAGGGTATTAATTAATGAGCACACCCTACATAACCATATTTCGGTAGAGTCAATATGGACTCTAATGAAAGAGAATATAATGATATGAGAGAATAATGATGTAAATGGTATATTTGTATATATTAAGAGAGATTATTAAAAATTTCGTACATAAATCTAATTTATATGTACTAACTTAAGCGTACATAGATGTTTATCGAAAATATGCTATTGAAAGTATTATTTCAATAATGATATTTTAATAATGATAAATTGAAATGAGTGATATATAATTATTTGATTAGGCAGTAAAATTTTTGCACTATAAAGTGTTTATATATATGTTTTTATTTTTCAAAGTTTATTATATAAAATTGAATTAAAGGAATAAATTTATTTTTTATCGAACTGTATATTCGTTAAGTTCAAATGTTTAGTAACATTCATACTGTCGCATAGATATAGGCGTGTATTACAACAACTGTAAGAACACTGAAAAACGAGAGAGTATTATTAAGTCAACCATTAAAAATAATTTTTAATTCAAATAATATTTAACGAATTTGTTAAAAGTATATCAAAAAAAAAGCGAAAACTTAGCACTATAAAATATACCTATTTATTCGTTATATTGTTTATAGTACTTTATAGTTGATATTAATATATCAAATTAGTTAATTTTTTTTTCTATTTTTTTTTTGACCAAAAATATATAATATTTTTTGATTATTAGCCCGATCAAGAATTATTATGTATCCAACTAGTAAATTTGATTAAAACTTTTTAGAGGAAAAGATATATACCTGTGTTCATATGAGCGCCCACACGTTACAATTATAATGAAGACAATAACATCAGTAACAGCGGCAGTGAAAAATCGGGAATGGTAAAAGAATATAAATAAATAAAATGTTAATTTATTTACTTAAATTTATTAAATTTACAAATATGATTACTACAATAAATAAAAATAAATAATATGACTACCCAATTTTCCATAGAAAACCTACCATAAAATAAACTCAATGCTAAGAAGACGATTATTATTGGTGTTAATAAATAAATTTGAACTATTCATTGTGAAGTGAGAAAGAATATATATTGGGCATATTAAAATATAGCTTGCTAGTTACTTTTTTAAAAGTAAGTCATTTATCCTGGTTCAAGAAATTTTAAAGAGCCCATATGGAAAACTTTCCATTATTTGCATTATATATTTTCAATTATGAGTGAATAATCATTAAAAACTAATAAAAACAATAATTAAAATTATAATGATAAGTATAATGATAATTATATTATTATAAAATAAACATATGTATATTTATTTTTATTAATCACAAAAAATTCCATATCTCTGTGATTATGTATTATATGTACATACTTACATATGTATGTATTTTTCGTTAAAACTTTATATTGTTCGCATAAAGGAAATAAGAGTATTTTTGCATAAAATAGATTAAATTCCTAATTGTTTGTTTTATTTACAAATCGGGTTAATTTATGAAATAAAATAAATATTACTCCGATCACACCAGACAATTTTTCTCATAAACAATAAAAACGGGATGTAAGCAATAATAAAAAAAAATACACACAAACATGGCGCAAATTACCCCACGCAAGCGCAGATATGCAACGAAACTAAAAAAACAACAACAACAATGCGAATGTTTTTGTTTGTGGCAGTGCTATTGTCGCTGAAGTCGTTTCCAAACAACGGAGCTGAAAATGTAAACAAAACATGGAGAATAAAATTAGCAGAAATTCAATTAAAAATGTGAAAAGTAGCAAATAAAAATTAAATTTTCTTTCTTGATATTGAAGAGGAGGATTAATTTTTACAAAATGCGTGCTGTTTTAAAATGGGTAGAAAAAGTGGAATTTCCAAATGATAGCAAAGATGACGAAATCAGGTAAAAAATATAATTAAAAAATGTGTATACATATAATAATAAATATAATTACATATTTTTAGCATACGTTCAGTTTGCTATAATCCTAGTGGTAGCATCTTAGTGGTTGCAGCCAAGAATCGTGTACTTATATACGATGCCAACGATGGCTCACTATTGAACACACTGAAAGCCCATAAAGATGTGGTGAATTGTGTAGCATATGCACGCGATGGCAAAAAGTTTGCCAGTGGAGCTGTGGATAAAACTGTAATTGTTTGGTCACCACAATTGGAGGGTCTATTGAAATATGCGTAAGTTGAAGACTAAACGTTTTAAACAGTGGTAATAACAGTGGTTAGTTACCATTTCACATGTTACTAGAAGCTCATTCGTTGGACGTTGGAATTAACCACTCCAAATAATTTGATTTAATGTTACATTTAAATATTATTACTTTTTCTTCCTTTAAAGACATGGCGATGCAGTACAGTGTATGTCCTTTAACCCAGTGTCACATCATTTGGCTTCCTGTTCAAATTCGGATTTTGCTTTTTGGTCAACTGATCAAAAAGGAGTGCAGAAATATAAAGTATATTTGCAAAAAATATATAATTTTTATATAAACTTTAAATCTTTTAGATATCATCACGCGTAAATGCCTGCTGTTGGACCAATGATGGACAATATTTGGTTTTGGGTTTATCAAATGGCACCATATCAATCAGAAATAAAGTATGTATATAATTTTTATTAATACGAGTATTCTTTAAATTTTATTAAAATCTATTAAACTATTTAAATTCATTTAGTCTGGTGAAGAAAAAGGTCGCATTGATCGTCCTGGTGGTCCGAAAAGTACAGTGTTTGGTGTGCAATGTTGTCCAACAACAGTGGCAGGATCTTTTGATTCCATATGCGTTGTTGATTGGAGTCAAACGCTTTCATTTCATACACTAAGTGGTCAAATGATTGGCAAAGAGCGTGCACTTGGTTTTGATCCATTGTCCGTCACTTATTTTCCCAATGGTGAATTCTGTATTGTTAGCGGTTGTGTCGGAACATTACATCTCTTTACAAAGGAAGGTGTACGACTTGGCACATTAGGTGAATCGTTTGATACATGGATATGGTCAGTTGTATTACATCCCAATGGACAATCATATGCTGTTGGCTGTCAGAATGGCACTGTAGCTAGTTTTAATATTGTCTCCAGCACAGTACATGCATTGTATCGTGAACGTTATGCTTTTCGAGAGAATATGTGTGATGTTATTATACAACATCTGATATCTGGACAAAAAGTACGCATCAAATGTCGCGATTTAGTGCAGAAAATTGCTATTTATCGTAATCGTTTAGCTGTTCAATTACCAGAACGTGTAGTACTCTATGAATTAAATTCTGCTGAGGATCAGCCCATGCATTACAGAGTCAAAGAAAAGATACAAAAGAAGTTTGAATGTAGTTTGTTAGTTGTATGTGCAGAGAATATTGTTTTATGTCAGGAGCGACGACTACAGAGTTTAGACTTTAGTGGTATTCTTCAACGTGAGTGGCTAATGGACTCTTTTGTGCGTTATATTAAAGTTATAGGGGGACCAGCCGGACGTGAAGGTCTAATGGTAGGACTCAAAAGTGGACAGGTAAAATATTTTTAGCATACTATAATTGTAATAATATAATTGTAATTTGTATGTTTATAGGTTTTTCGCATATTTTTGGATAATTCCCTGCCACTGATGATAACTTCAGCCATGTCATCGTTGCGTTGTTTGGATATAAATGCGAATCGTACTAAAATTGCTGTTGTTGATGATGCTGGACGTTTAATTGTACGCGATATTTTAAGTGATACATTACTTTATCAGGTAAGTTTTAATGTACAGTAAAATCTCCGTTAAATATACATCCTTCTTTACTGTGCAGTGTTATTTGTGCTTATTTTATTCTTTCATTCAAAGTATATTACATAATTATCCATCAAAATTGCTGATTCCGTCGGTGTCCTCTTAAGGCTTTACTATTCATATTTTGAAAATCCTTTCACATTTAAAACTCTGTTAAATGGGCGTTCCTTTAAATGAACAATTCTCTTCGTCTCGCACTATTACCAGTGTCCAGTTCGTCTTTTTAATCGAGAAGTGGGTTTTAATAGAATTAAATGGGCTTAATCGGACAAAACTATAACTGGTGATCTTAATTAACTGTGCAATGTTAACCGTTCCCAGCTTTAATATTTAATACAAAGTATTCTCTTATAAATAGACAGCTTCTTGACCAGACAGAATTACTGTTCCGTTGGTGTTTGCTTTCACTGAATATATTATTAAAATCTTGTACTGTGAAGGTTTGTTTAACAAAAGCTTTTATACCTGGACATCTTAATTAACCGTGTACTGATAACTGTCCCCAGTTTTAATATGTATTGCAAAATATGTTTTGTTAAACAGACAGTTCTCTTAACCAAACAGTTCTCTTAACCAAACAGTTCTCTTAGCCGGTCCCTCACCACCTCAATAGGACTTCAGTAGCACCCTCTCTGGTAGATGCATGCGTCAATCCTATTATTCGTATTATAAATACATAGACACCTATTGCAATGGAGCTAACATCAGTGAGGTTAAATATAAACGTGAACTAACCGCCCGTCACACAGATGCAGCATCCTTTTCAAGACCATGTTTGTATTGAAACAAAGTTCTCAATAGGTTTCGACCTAATATCAACTGTGAAGGACGACACCTTTCCACTTCCCAATCCGTTTTTGCTCCTAAACGATTTCCTGTTCTCTCACACTACCATCACCTACCCACATTTTAACTCATGCAAACGTTTCTTGATGAAACTAGACATCTCATCGAACTGTGCAATAAAAATCGTTCCCATTTTAATATTTAATACATGGCACACTCTTTTGAAAGGACAGTTTTCTTAAGTAAACCGAATTGGTGGTCACATCGGTATTTACTTAAGGAAGTGTTCAATGCACACATAATTAAAAGTAATGTATTAATAATTTTTAAAGGATAATGGCGTTAACTCTGTCACATGGAATACTTACATGGACTCAATGCTTTGTTATACTCATACAACCGGTGGTTTGAGCGTACGTGTTGGAAATTTACCACCACGTGCACCGCAAAATATGTTAGGAGTTGTAGTAGGTTTATGTGGTGCTACTGCATTCTGCTTACGTGGTAATCTTATGCATAATATACCATTAGCTTTGGGTGCGACAATGTGGCAATTTATAGAAGCAGGACTTTTTGAGTAAGTTCCTCATACACTGTGTAATAGGCTAATATATATGTGATACTAAGTGATTTTATTATATCTAACATTATAGCGAAGCATATCAGGTGGCCTGCCTTGGAGTGACTAATGCTGATTGGGAAGGATTGGCACAATCTGCTTTGAGGGCAGTTCATTTAAATATAGCTAGAGATGCATATGTTAAAGTCAGAAATCTGCCTTGGTTGCAATTAATAGATAAATTATTAGAAAAACAAAAACGTGCTGAAGTACCCAAAGAAGTCTTACAGGCGGAGACATTTGCTTTTGCCGGTAAATATAAAGAGGCTGCGCGTTACTTCCAAAAATGTTCACAAAATACACGTGCTTTGGAAATGTACTCCGATCTGCGTATGTTTGATTTGGCACAAGAATTTGTGAAAGACGGTAGCGAAGAGGATAAACGGGAATTGGTTAAAAAACGTGCTCAGTGGGCATATTCAGTAAAAGAACCACGTGCTGCAGCTGAATTATTATTATCAGCTGGTGAGAATGATAAGGCTATTGAGATTGTCGCAGAACAAGGTTGGCCTGATATGTAAGTAAAATAACAAAAAAACTATATCCAAAAATATTTTTTATCTTTATAAGTAATTAAATATTTTATTTTTTTTTAGACTTTATGATATTGGCAGACGTTTGAGTCTGAGTGAAAGAAACTCTTTAGAATCTGTAGCAAATCATTTAAAACGTCTCAAAGCTTTACCTCTGGCAGCGGAAATTTTCAAGAAACTAGGCGAGGAAATACAAGTAGTACAGCTACATGTTGAAGCACATGATTGGGCAGAGGCTTTCCGTTTAGCTGAGGACATACCGAAATGTTTGTCCAATGTGTACTACCAACACGGCCAGTGGTTAGCTGAAAATGATCAATTCATTGAAGCGCACAAAGGTTGGTTAATTGTGGTGTTTACGCTGCTATAAAATAGTAAACATATTTTGTTAAATTAAATAATTCAATTTAAATGATTTAAGTATTTTAATCTAAATTATTTACTTCTTTTTTATTTTAGCCTTTTTAAAAGCTGGCAGTATGAAAGATGCAAATCGTTTGCTTAAACAATTAAGCAGTTCTGCTTTAGCTGAGGAGCGTTACTTAGACGCAAGTTACTTCTATTGGCTTCTGGCTAAACAGTATATGGAAATATATTGTGAAAAGGAGTAAGTTTTTGTTCTATTTCATGTTATTTGGTCATGTTTCTTATGATAATTTTCCTTACAGCATACAAAACGCAATCGATCATCATTTAAAGGAATATAAAAATCATTTACGTATAGCGAAGGTTTATTATGCTTATAGCATAATCTTCAATTATATGAAGGAACCATTTACGACATACTCACCTATAAGTCTATTTAATGTTAGTCGATTTATACTTAATGAAGTTGAATTTAAAGGAGCTCCGAAAGGTGTAAGCATGTTGTAAGTTCTATGAATTCGTATGTAAACAATAGTTTTTGTTTCAGTGTATTATATGTATGTAGATTGTATTAAAGTATATATATAATTTAATTCTAAAAAAATTTGTAGAGTAATGTATTTACTTTAAAAATATGCCTTCAGTGCCGTTCTATTCACACTGGCGAAACAGGCGAAGTTTCTACATGCAAACAAATTATGTTTGGTCGTCAACAAACGCTTGCAGTCCCTTAAACCACCAGCTGGAATACAAGAACAAATAGATGTGAGCAAAAATTAAATAAAATTTAATTAAAAGTGTTAATAAACCCTATTTCAATTTCTCAAAAGGTTAATTATTTAAATAGTAAAGCTTGTAAAAGTGGTTTCAATGATCCTGAGGAACTCTTGCCACTATGCTACAAATGCTCCAATTATAGTCAACATTTAAATGGAAATTGTTGTCCAACATGTAAACAGGATTATTTATTTTCATTCATATCATTCGGTATATATAATAATTTTAAATAATATACAATAGCATAACACAGCACTCTCTTCTTGTAGAGATATTACCATTGGTGCAATTCTATCCTGAAGTGGACATTACTGATGCAGAAGCTGAACGTTTATTACTTGCACCACCAAAACAGAATGAAGACATTGATCCTTTTAATGAAGTAATTATATTCAGTAATTTAATATATTAAAAATTAGTTTTTTATATATATAATTTTTTAGGATGTTGCTAGTGCTTTACCATTGAGCCTTGATCGTAGTGCATTACGTGGTATTGATCCTAATCACATATTAATAGTTAAAGGTCGTGAAAAAAATATAAAAAGTTTATATTTTCGGAATATTTTGCCTGATCTACAAGTTACTTTCTGTCCAGAGTGTTTATTGGTATGATTTTAATTATATTTTATTTTTTGCTATTTTCATAACACGTGTCGTTCCACTGTTATGGATCGTGTTTGATGTGACTATATATGCACTATATATATTAAACTATATGCTATACAATTATAACTCAATAATTTTTTTTCGTTTTAGGTGTTTTATGCTGAAGACTTTGAAATGCAAGTGTTGCAGAAAGGTTATTGTCCTTTTTGCCGAACATCGTCTGAAAAGTTACTCGAAGAATATTAACTATTATAAGTTATAAATTGACAATTAGTTTACTTAAATGCACATATAGTACATATATATTATATGAAATGTACGATGAAATTATAGCAACCACTACTGTGTTTTATAAATCTTTTAGATTATATTATATAGTGAGAATTCTTTTGAGCGGGCGGCAGACATCGTTAAACTCTTGTTGATTCAAGTGGACTATCCTGACAAGTGGGATAAAATTGTTCCAAATTTTAATAAAATATAGTGTTGGAAAAATTGTCAACCCGTGGGGAATATCCGTTCTACAGCGATGTCTCTTAGAAGAGTTATCACTGTGATTATTTATTTTATTATATTATAATTGCAATTGTTTAAAGTTCCTTTAATAAATTTATAATTACTTAATAAGACTGTTTAGTCTATAATAATATACAAAACAAAATCATTTTGTTTCATTATCACATCGAATGTGACATGAATTAAGGAAAATTACAAATTTTGATCATCAAGAATTTTGAAAGCATCATGGAATTCGCCTATTTCCTAAGGACCATACTCTTCACACTGAGTAATTACAAATCTACTTACAAAAGATACGATGAGTATATATATTTTTTTTAATATTTAATTTAATATTTAATTTAATATTTAATTTAATTTAATAAAATATGAGAAGACTCAACGATATGGAGGCACCTGTATGTAAGATGGCCGCATTCTTTTTAGATATCAGTTTACAAATTACAGCCAAGTAGGGAACCATTATAGAATAATAAAATCTCCAGTTTAATCACTCTGTCGTAGTTGTTGAGAAAATATTAAGAGTGTCTCACATCGGTTTTGTTACTCTTTGTTTTAAGGGTTTCCTTATTTGAGGATCTTTTCCAACTACAGCAGTTCCCTTTAAAAATCATTTTACCGAAAGTTCAAAGTGGGTTTTAATATTTTAAATTTCTGCGCATATTTCTAAATATATTTTCTATTTCTAGAAATGTGATCTATTTTTATATACTTAAACGTTAATTATAGCAAACATTTTTTGATGAATATAGATGTTCCTCAAACAACATGTTTCTGCCTATACAGCTTATACATCAGATATAATATATTAAATAAATAATAATAAAATATCTATATTAAATAAATTTAATATAAAAACAATTATTCATATTGATAGTTAGTATAGCATTTAAATTCAAATCATTATCATCGGTCTCAATCAAAATTAACATATACCTATATCAAACATTATCCACGTCTATCATATCATATCATAAATGCAATATTCATATACTTCATAAAGAAAATTAGGTTAAATTCTTTAGTTTATATGAATTATATTCATCCGTTTTAGTTATTCTAATATATGATCAACGTTTATTCCGAAATTTGATTTGTATGGAAAACTACGTTATGTTGTAGTCATACAAAAACCTTTGTATCAATCCGTCTCATCGAGATATTCCTCAATGCATTTATATATAAATTTTGTAGCAGTTTTTTTCAACCTAAAATGTACTGAGGACCGAAGAAGTATTCAATATATCGGTAAAGTGTTCAATATATTTTGTATGAATCGACATTAATATGTTCCCGAAAAATAATGTAGTTGAAGATGAAAATACAACGACCGTTGAGAAACCCTGCTTTATAGTGTCTTTCTTCCATGCTTTAGGAACATCTCTGTAGCGTATGAAACTAGCAATAAGGAAAAACCAACTTTGAATCATGAATTCTATAAAATCAAGTAAACTATTTTTGTATATTATTTTTTATGGAAGTTTCAACAGCAGATAAATTGATTGGAATTTAAATGGAGATAAAATGACTTTCTAAACTAGCCTCATTGAAGTGGCTAGGTTGCTACGCCTACTTCAATTTAAAAGCCCACCCTTCGCCAACCCAATCTAAGGTCTAAACAATCTGCTCTTCTCTCATATTATTATCACCTATACAGATCCTAACTCATGTACATGTCTTTGTAATTTCTTTTGTTATCTGCCCAATAGATCTCTACTGGCTACAACAGCAACATATTTTCTATTTTTAACGAATTGATAAACTGATTATAATCGATTTAAATAAAATATTGAAAATATTTAATAACAAATTAAATAATAAACAAACAAATAATCACCGCTTAATAATATGTATAAAAATAATATTTACAGTACATATTAACAAGTTATACATATATATTTCAAATATATACAATTTAATAAAAAAAAAACATTATTTCTTATGACCAAGTCTCTTCCTGGTAACGTCTATTTTTGATCATTTGTTCAATATATTCTGAATTTTCGTCTAAAACAAAAGTAAATGCTTCTTTCACAGCCTTCGGCATATTATTGGATGAGCCCGCAACTAATATAATAGCTTCTTCATTCAATATTAACTCCTTGAGGTAAGATTTTTGCTGCTTAATCAAATGTTGCACATACACTTTTTCTTCCTGGTCACGTGAAAACGCAACAAATACTTTCACCATCCGTGTTAACCAATTTTCGAATTCAGTTGAAAAATGAAAATCTTTGCTTTTATTTCGACAACCAAAAAATACAACCAACTTAGGATCGAGTGTTGAGTATTCCTTTAGAGCAATTAAGCGACTTTGTATAACACTGCGGAATGGTGCAATACCCGTACCAGGGCCAACCATTAAAATGGGTGTATGCTTGTTTTTTGGTAGGCTCATTGTACCCGATTTTATTGTACCTACAATTTTACTATCAACTGCCAGTGCTTTAAGCCAATTTGAGCATAAACCTAAACGTGGTGTAGATAAAATAGTTTTATATTCCACAATCGCTACTAATATGTCAAGTTTCTTCTCTTCTGGTATGGAAGCTATGGAAAAACTTCGTGTTTGTATTGTTCCAAAAAGTTCACATAATATTGGCAGTGTAAGTTTAGAGGTAGCATGTCTAAAGTCTTGTAAAACTTCTAATATGGTGCGACGTGGTCTATTTATATAACTAATAACACTATCAAGCCCTTCAGCAGTAGTGAATTCTGCCAGTTTTTCTTTTTCTAATTCATCCTCGCAATTCAGTGCGAGCAGTTCAAAAGCACGTGGCCTTGGTTTGGCAGTTAAGTCCCATACATACTTGGCTAACATACCTACACTTATAGGTTGTGCATAAATTTCTGGCAGTGGCATATCTTCATAAATAGTATTAAGCTCTATAATGGTGTTCGCATTAAAGTTAATATTGTGTTCCTTTATAAGCTCAAAAAAAGCGCTAACATTTGCATCCGAGTTGCAAGGTCTCAATTGTAAAACGTCGCCTGGCTGCCAATTCACATCCTTAGAGTATGTAAAACTAAGTAGACGTACATCTTGGAAATGATCTTCACTTGTGGTACGAAGATTAGTTGTTAGTGTAAAAATTTGTGACTCCTCTTCATTTGACCAACGAAGTATTTCTGCATTGACCAAATTTATTTCCGCAGGGTTCTCTAATATTTTAAGTTGCCATTTGCATATAGGATCGTTAATTTGTTTTCGTTTCAAAAAATGTAGTTTTTCTAGTTCCATCCACAAATTTGTTATCCACGGCAGTGAAACAGCACTTGGTCCATGATCATGTTGATCATCACACAAACCAATTGGTATTAAAGCTTTTGCTCCTAATTGTAATAAGCGTTTATTTAACTTTTTAGCGGCGAAGTTAAATTTGACGTAGCTAGAATCACCAAGTCCTAGTAAGGCAAATGTTAAACCTTGTAAAGATTCTGTAGGTAAACTTTTTCGCAAAAGGAATTTCCATGTTTTTTTCATGTTATCCGGCTCATCGCCATTTCCAGTGGTAGCTACAACAAATATAATTAGGGTTTCTTTGATCAATTGCTCGATTGGAAATTTATCAATAGGTAATACCGGTCCAGCGAAGTCGTAGCTTTTGGATTCACGCCAAATTTGTTCTGCTAAATCTTGTGCTGTGCCTGTTTGACTACCGTAGAGTACAACTAAACGCATTTTTACAAAATTTAAAAATATATTAAATAAAACGTGGAATTATATTGGTTTTAATAATTAAGTAATAGTTTGTAAAAATTAATGAAAGTAATAACTAAAGCCGCAGCGAATTTATATAAAATGTTATGGAATAATTGAAAGGGATAATGTAAACATAATCATATGCTTAGCAGGGATGCTATTTAAAATGTTGTAACCTTGCCATATTTTTAAAACACAATGTGTGTGTTATACCACATTCAGAATTTTCCATTTAGGCTCTTTTGCTCAATGCCTAATGAAGATTATTTACCATACAAATGAGCTTATAATTAATAAATTAACTCATTAAGGGGAAAAATGTCAATTGCCATCCTTGAACATAAATTTCCCACAAGGGAAATTTCCAAAACTTGAAATATATGTCATATGTTTCATATGTAAAATGTAAACAAACAACTGCAATGCTATAAACAAAGATACTGACGAGGGAACTTAATATCAGGTATCCATCAATATATTTTTAATATTTTTGAATTTATTGAATGGAGAAATTTAAAAAATTGAAGTTTGTTGTTCAATGTATATATTTTCTTCAAAATAATTTATGATATTTTATATTCATGCTCTATAATATGGTTGTGATTAAAATGTATAAAATATTTATAGTTTGAAATCAATTGTTGTATTTTGTAATTTTCAGACATCTCTTCAAAGTACACCATTAACCTCAACAATACCACAAGTTCTTTATAAATTACTATAATTATCGTCTTATTATGATCGTTCATATATCATGGTAAAATATAACTTGGAGACATATGTAAGTGCTATGTTCATACTATGGTCACAATTTGAATCCTGCAATTAACGATAATAGTACGATTAAAATTTAATGTTTACACTTTTCTAATTATAAAATCAATAAAATCAAGGCCGTGTGCGAGTTCGAGTAAATTGTTGGTAAATTGATAGAAAATAGTAAATTAATAGTAATAGTAAATTTTGTCGGTATGACAGCGAATGTTGGTATTTACCAGAATTTCGAGTGGGGTAAATTAGATAAGAATTAGGTAAATTAGGTGTTACCATTGTGAAAATTTTATAATATGTTTAATAAATAAATAAATAAATTTAAAAACTTTTAACCAAAAATAATAAATAAGTGCAATAAATAAATATATAAATATTTACATAAGTGCAGTGCATAATATCTCTAGAAAATTTAAATTAAATTTACCTCAAATTTAGGTGTTACCATTGTGAAAATTTTATAAGATGTTTAATAAATAAATAAATAAATTTTAAAACTTTTAACCAAAAATAATTAATAAGTGCATAAATAAATATTTACATAAGTGCAGTGCAAAATATCTCTAAAAAATTTCAATTTACTTTACCTAATTTACTCGGCCTTAGAGTAAAGCATTTTGTTTTTTGTTTCGCTTCTCATTAAATAAGTTTAAACATTTAAATGTTTAAATCGTTATGTTAGCTCGGACACATATATAGTAAATATAATATAAATAAATTTTATGTTCACTACAAATATATAATATTTTAAAGATTAATATTACCGTTCAGTATTTTCACAATCTGGCAGCGTCACAAACAACTGATTAATTCCCCTTCTGTTCATTTCTGTTAACAGCACGTGTATTCGCGTTTGTTTTGTTCGATTTGATTTCATATATGCACAAATTATAAATTTTTCAACTAAATTAAAATCAACAATGAAAATGAATAACAAAGAACATAAAGGTAAAACTAAAATCCATAATGTGCGATTTTATAATTTGACTCCGAGGGCAATACAAAATATGGCATACAATAATTTCTTAAAAAAGTTGGCGCTCTCACGGTTTGTAACGAATTTTTGAAATAAGTATTAAACTATTTGATTTTAACAATTCTTTTACAGGAACGATGGTTCTATAGAAATATGGGACATGCAATATATGCCTTTGTTAGAACGCACTATTCCTACAACGCCTGGTAATTCGGTTGAAGGAATGGTATGGGTTGGTGAACGTTTGTTTAGCGTTGGTCTTAGTGGAGAAATAGTTGAATGGGATTTGCAAAAGTTAGTTCCACGCCGCAAGCAATATGTTACAGGAAACGCTATTTGGTGTATTGATGTCAATGTAAAGGCTACTCAGCTAGCAGTGGGTACAGAGGAAGGTTATGTAAATATTTTCGATGTTGAGAACGATGAGATGGATTACAAAAATCTTTTTGATAAACAAGAAGGTCGAGTGCTTTGTTGCAAGTTTGATCATTCAGGAGAATATTTGGTAACTGGTTCAGTGTGTGCTATACGTATATGGAATGTAAGTAGTGGGCATGCTATACACAAGATGACTGTACGTTCTGATACGAGGGAAGTAATAGTCTGGTGTTTACGAGTACTTAAAGACTTCACAATTATATCTGGTGATTCAAGAGGCATAGTAACTGTATGGGATGGACGCACTGCAACTGAAATTGAAACGCATCAAATGCTAAAAGCTGATGTATTAACACTAACAACGAACGAAGATGAAACTATGTTAATGTGCAGTGGAATAGAACCAATTATACGTATCTATAGCAAGACGCTTATAAAACGTGATGAAATGGAATATCATCGTTGGGTGAAATTTTTGCAAAGAAGCGTACACGACCATGACGTTAAAGCGTTAATTTGTATGGATGAACGTATAATATCTGGTGGCATGGATGGATATTTAAGTATATCGTCAGCTGTAAAAACGAGTTCTACAATGGCTAAATATGGACCATTTTTACAGGTATTATATATTATTTTTACTTATTTTTGCAAATTAATTATCTTCCACATATTGTAGGGTTGTTGCTCCAGTATTGCACCAAAAAAACGTTTGCTGCTTTTGCGCTACACTGACTATCTAGAGGTTTGGTCACTTGGTAGTACTAATGGTGAATATACCACAACTGTGCATAGTAAAAGCGAAGATAAATTACAGCGTCAGTTGTTGAGAATCGATGAGTCGCCAAAGAAGAATTTTGCAATGAAAAGCAAAGATGAAGCGCGTATTATTTGTGCTACAATTTCACCTAATGCTAAGTGGATTTGTTATTCCACAATAACGGATACACGTTTGTTTAGATTTAAAGTCGATGAGAAGGGTGCAGATAAACTACATTTAATTGAAAATCTACCTGAACAATTTTGCGCTGCCTCACTGATACATTTCTCAACAGATTCGAAACGTTTATATTTAGTCAGTAGTGAAACACAGAGTATATTGGTGTTTGCTATTCTTAAAAATAATGCCGTAGAGTTGGAATTCATAACGCAAATAAATACGAAGAAGCACATAAAAGATAATATAAATTTGTTGGAAGTATCAGAAGACGACAAATACATTGTAGCTGCTGGATTGGATCACTCCATTGCTATTTGGTCCGAAAAAGAAAAGGGACATTATAAATATCAGTTCAATTTGCCAAAGTACATAGCTGCAACAACGGCTATTGCTTTGCATGCCGACTATCCATGTTTAGTAGCAACATTTTCAGATGGTAGGATTATCGAGTACAACATCGAAGAAATTCGTTTTACATGCTCTGAGCAAAACGATTTGCTGGATAGTGCAAGGACGCATTGTACTACAAAAATCTTATTAGATCGACGTTGTTCTGATTTATTCGTGTTACTTAATGAAGAAAATGTTTATGCATTGAAAAAATATTTAAATGATGAAATTGAACCTGAAATAGAACCTATCATCAAAAAACAAAGCAAAAAGCACAAAAAACAGAAGTCAGTTTCATTGGATCAAAAGACATCTGGATTACGTATGACATTTAGCAAGAATACTACGGTATGGAAATGAATTAATCTTAAAATTTTTATATTCTTATAATTTGCTTTCTTCCATATTTCAGCACTCTTTAAACTTGTCATGGCTGACGCATGAGGATTTGGTAGTTGTTGGTATGAATGCCATGTCACTGATTGATCAATTGCCTAGTGCATTTAAGCAGAAGAAATTCGGTAGTGCGTAGTTTGTAATTTATAATTTTTATGCCTAAACTTCACTGCAGATTTCATTAAAATTCATGCACTATGTAAGGTGGAGCCCAAAAGAAAAAATTGGAACTTATTTAAAATAGATGTTTAAAGTGAGAACATATATTGGCAATTATATGCGTCCGAGTGGTTAATCGTTTCCTGATGCACTGTCAGAAATTCATGATAAGTAAACTATTAGAAGTGGAGTTATTGCATCTGAAGTGAAGGTTATTTATCCCATTAGAGTTTACGAGTGGTATAAGGACTCTAAAAACTAGTGCGGACATGTATTATGATAATCGAATTAATCGAAATACGATATCGGCTCAGATTTTATAAATAATGCGGATAAATTTATCGCTCACCCGGAATCAGGAAAAAATAAATTGAAAATATGGGTGATCGAAATGGATATGGATGACTGCCAATCAAAAATAAAAATCGAATTTTAAGCGTCAACCACTCTCAACATTCACCTTATTTGGTTGTCTGTGATTTGACTTTTTTTTTGGAAAAATGCTTGTGACGTATAAAGGTCAGCATTTTATGGAAGTAAGAGCCATCCAGAAGTTCTTTAGAAACATACTGAAGAAATAACACTTTAAATACTAAGTTTTAAAATGTATAATTTTTTAACTATGAATCGTACTTTAATTGCCAATTGATTCTTACATAAATCTGATCTGGCATTTGGTGACATTAACGTTTTCGGAAAAATGCACGTAATACATAAAGGGAAGCATTTTGTGGATGTATGAAAAAGTTCTTGTGACGAAAGAAAACTTGGAACTTTGTGACTTTCTCCTTTTCGGAAAAATGCAAAAAACGCGTAAGAGTCAATTTTGTGACTTTAAAAGTCATTTAGAAGGCCTCTACCGACATCCTGAAGAACTATCAATTTAAACACTAATTTTTAAAAAGTTCTATTACTTTGAAAAGCACTTTATTCTTCCATAAGCAGTTGAATTCAGTTCATTGTTTGCAATCATTTATGGAATCTTCGATCATATCGTTGTGTTCTTGTCTTTTTATATAGATATAGGCATAGTTATATGATCTTTTATAATATGTAAATATAAAAGCAATAATTCTAACTTGAACTCAAATGGCAAAAAAAAAACTTGTAAAGTATATTAAAAAATTTTTATTGGTTTGTAAAAAATATTTAATAATTTTATTTTATAAATTGTTTTATATCACAATAAAAGGAGTAGAACTCTAATAGATCAACAATATAAAATTAGCTTCCAATTTTAGGTTCTTGTAATATATATACATTTATATGTTGTAATACGTATTTCATGAAAGTGAAGGCATGGTTTAAATAGTTAATAAAGTAATTTAAGATGTTTATTATAATTATATTTATTATAAAAAATAAAACTATATAATTTTATAATAATTTTTGTATAAAAAATATTTATTTAAAATTAAAGTTGCTAGATTTTAAATTGTATTTTGTATTTATTTATACAGCAACTCTATAATGCTTATTATTATTTGTCTATCGTTGATAGAGAGTATAAAAATTTTTATCGTTGATAGAGAGACAAAACCGAACTTGGGTATTGTGAATCAGTAGAAATTTTTCTATTAGTAGTAAATAAATTCGTCTATTATGTTTAAACAGTAGAAGTTTATCGATCAGATAAAATAATTGTTGTTGGAATGCTTAATGCAGTCTAATTAACATATAAATATTTAACAATATAATTTTTGTTTCTTAAATAGAGTAATAATTTACATAGACTGCTCTAAAATAGATGATCTAGTTGGCTGTGGTATATTCTCTAGAAAATCACGTCTTAGCTTTTTGATTCGTTTTCCAAACTACTGCAGTGTTTTTCAAGCAGAAGTAATGGCAATCCATAATACAATGTAATGGGTTCTTGGCAATCAAATCACTGATGGTTCTATTTCAATTATCTCGGATAGCCAAGCTGCCAGTTTAGCCACATCAATTATTACTCAAAATTGCCGAGATTTTCTCAATGACTTAGCTATGTGTGTCAGGGTTCAACTTATATGGATTCTAGGCCAAATGGACATCTCAGGCAACTGCAGGACAGACGACTTGCCAAGGCAGGTGTTCTTCTTCCTGACATTTAGTTCTCAGATATAGGTGTTCAACTTGCTACAGTTAAATTGGCAATTAAACAAAAATACTTGAGCATACCCAAGTAATACTGGACTGATAAACTCCAATGTCAAATATCTGAGTTGACTTGGTCTAATTTGGACAATAAATGCACTAGTAAACTACTTCAACTAAGACGGAACCTGCTCAGCACCACGATACCACGCAGTGGTCGTCAGCACAGACTAAGTCTACCCCATAATGACTTTTGTTGCGGATGAGGAAGTGGCCGCTAGGTAGGAGAAGATCTAAAATCTTTGGGCCCCTTTTATCACCGATTTGTGTGAACTGTAATGCTGTAATATTAGGCACTTAGCCAAATTTATAGAACTTCTAGTTTTTGGGGGAGTCGTTACCTTTTTCGGCGTTAGTTGTATACTGATATTGCAATTTATGTACGTATCAATCCTATTCCTGTGGTACCACAATGAGCCATTATTTGAGCTCACTTGGACTTTTTGGAAACAAGGTCGCCATTCCAACCTACCCACCTAGTAATAATTCATTTATATTTTAATTTGCTTACCCGCTACTTTCAAGTGTAATGAATTGTATATTGAAAATAAGGGCTGTTGTAACAATAAGGAAATAGATGGGATGTTCAATTCCATTTGGGTGCAGGTGATATTAATTTAGCATTTTTCGAAAAAAATAATTTATTAGTTATTCATTACTTCATCTCTCCAATATTTTAATAAATGAATATTTAATTTATTGTAATCACAATAAAAACGATTAGCATAAAGCATATCAAAGTCAGTTATTGGTCCGTCGACTCACAGAAACTGAATACGACATTCTATTCTTCTTATATGTTTTCATTGAAGTCAGACTTCTTGATTCATCTATGGAATAAAAGTCGGCGGGTTTTATTGAACGGTAAAACTGTGATAGTAATAGATGTTGACAGTTTGTCATAGACTTAAACGGGAGGTACATCAATGTGAGCAAAGTAGGATATAAAGCGTGTAAGTCAAACAAACAATCAATTAAAAGATATATAAAAAAATAGTAAGAATTTTTAAATGAATAAATAAATCATACAGATTTTGAAAAAGTAGAACTGTCACATATCATCTGGTGCACTGTATAGTTAAATTTTACTTACGTTCCTACCACCATTTTCTCGATTTAAACTTTACTACATCAATCTATATCGTTTCTTCTTCTCTTACACCCTACTTCTTCCACACCGTTTTAATGTTTCGTAAGATTTTAGTTTTTGTTTCCTGGAAGATTTCTCTAAGACTTCTTTACAATACATATTATAATAACAACGATGCATATATAGCACGATCTATTATGTTAGTATAAATATATTAAGTAAAAATTTCCTTAATTAATTCATTAAAATATTTCTAATATATTATATTTTAGGTGGATCATTTTTTGTTTATAAAGTATTTTGTTTTTTTAAAAAAAAGAAGAAAATAAATAGTTATTTCCATTAAACTGTATTATATATTATATACTGCATACTATATATATATATTATAGTATGAAATATTTGCATATTATTTTATATTTGAGTAGTATGACACATGAAATCAAAGATTTTAAATAGAGATTTACTAAATAATTATTCTGATAACATAATCGCACAATAGATCTCTTTGGTTCGGGTGCATTCATTGCCTACTATTTAATAATAATAATACAATTCTTTCTAAAATTTTTATTAATTTTATTAAAATAATAATAATAAAAATAATTTTTTCTTTTCTTATACAAAAAATAATATTTAAAATAAAATAAAAAAAAATAAATAAAAATAATATTTAAAAAATAATATATTTATTTAATATTAATTAATAATTATTAAGAGTAATCATATAATATCATTTTTAATGTATGCTCTCACGATTATTCACATTAATTTCACTACGGTATTAGTTATTATATTTTGATCCTGGTAACCCTAAAATGCTAAAAATGAAATGTTCAATATAATTATAATTCTCAGGTAAAATTTTATGGAATGTGTAATTTATATACAAAATTTTTACAAATCATATCATACGCGAGTTTTCCATGCTTGTCTCTCGGGGTCAGATACGTGCTCCTGGTAGCACACATGAAATACCCTGGGGAAAGTCCCCGGGCCGAAGATAGAAAGTATCGAGGCGTAAAAAGTACGTTGGTTCGTATTCGCCTATATTCCGGGAAAATTGCCACTGCACACTAATGATGAGAGCGCTTGCTCGAATTAGTGCTTGGTGTTTTCGGAAATGTGCCAGAGTTATAAGATATAGACACATCTGCTTGATTACGCGCCTTCATAAAGGAAGGTTGTTAAGTCGTGTCATGCACAGAATGGGGCTTACACTGGGAAATTCGGCAGTTTTTTTTTCTATTATTCCTTGGACGATAATATTATTATAAATATTTTTAATAAATAATTACAACAGTAAAAATCAGTGTTATATTAAATTATAAAACTCATTAAGTGCAAGACAAATTATATAGACCAGTTAAATAAGTCAGCCTCCTCCAAAGTAGGTCCATTTTTTTTTTATTGAATGCATTTCTTTCTAGAAGTCTTATCAGATTTAGTTAACTTATGCGATAGCCGGTTGCGTGTCTTCTGGAAATGGTTAAGTATTCTAGGTATGGTTTCCATTTTTCGATATAGTTCGTTCAGATCGTTTTCAGAACAGTCGAAAGCTGCTAACTATAATTGAAAAAATGAAAGTAAGGTTTATAGGGTATATAGGTACGTTCATTTTAATTATTCTCTAAAAACAGATTATTCTTTTGCTTTGATCTACTTACGACATTATATTTAATTTTGTGTAATGATCACCGAATGATTTGGTCATAGAGTAATATCGGTTTCATGTCCAACTTGTAAATGTAATAGACTATTATAGGTTTTAAATTATATTTTTTGAATTCTTTCTTTTATATAGGTATAAATTGCTGTGAGCCTTTTTTATGTTTCCTGTTCATATTATTATTTTATTAATTTTTCTTATCTAGAACTATATCGAGATAAATTTCTGAAAAGAAAACTTTTAATATTTGTGCATTTATGCCCATGGACTGTAAAGAGTACGGCTAGTGTTTCTTGATTATATAGTACAGTAGTATCATTTCCATTTTAATGTGTGCAACTCAGTATTTAGTTGAAGTAATAATGAAACAATTCTACTTCTAGCAGAAGTAGCAGTTTTTGAACAGCTAAATTTTATTTAGCAGTCTAATAATAACTCCTTCTGTGTCATTAATAGAATAAGTCATCTATTTTTTTTTAATTAATTATGGACTTTAGTAAATGATAATTTTTTACT